TAGTACGCGGAGCAATCTGTAGAGCTGGAAGCTGAGAACTGGCGACTTTGTAGTGCAACTTTAGTACGCGGAGCAATCTGTGCAGCTAGAAGCTGAGAACTGGCGACTGTGTAGTACAACTGCAGTACGCGGAGCATCTGGGGAGCTGGAAGATGAGAACTGACTGGCGACTTTCTAGTACAACTTTAGCACGCGGAACAACCTGTGGAGCTGGAAGCTGAGAACTGGCCACTTTGTAGTACAAGTGTAGTACGCGGAGGAGTCATCTCTCGCTGCTGAGTCAGCTCTCGCTGCTGTGAGTCATCTCTCGCGACTGAGTCATCTCTAGCTGCTCATTTATCTCTCGCTGCTGAGTCAGCTCTCGCTATAGCCATCTCTCGCGGCTGAGTCATCTCTCGCTGCTGAGTCATCTCTCGCGGCGTGCAGGTTTGGCACAGTTCATACTGATAGCATTTGGTTGCATTTATGCAGGACAGGACATTCAACTGCTGGTCAATACACCACTCATCATACACCACTCATCATACACCACTCGTCATACACCACTCATCATACACCACTCGTCATACACCCCTCTTGTCGTGGCAAAGATACAACCCAGTACGCTGTTGTGAGCTGCTGATCCTGCAGGGGGCACACACCTTACACACGTGGAATCCCGTGGGTGAAAAGTCCGGAGCGCGTGCGTTTGACTGGAGGACGCACATGTTGGAGAGAACGTGGACACTCCTATAGGTCAATTTGTTCTTATAGGAAACTTCCGCCGCCGGCTTGCCCGGGAACTGCTTGTATTCATTAGAATTACAAATATAGGCATCTTTTTGTGGAGTTCAACATCTTTGCAAAATTGCTTGTGCCTAATGCCACGGCCTTGGTTCCGGTGGTTCCTGGAACCAGGGCCGAGATACGTATGAGACATGCAACTGGGAAGGATTGGGAAACATCAGATATCAAGCACCAGAAAGAGCCGTCTGTGACCGTGCGTGACCCAAACTCCTCAGGCACCTTAGACAGGTCGCTTGAAACCTTGTCCAGATTGAGCCTGACTGACTCGTGAGGCCGGTTCGATCGGAAAAGCAAGGTGAACCGAGCTTCCCAATGTAGACTCTTGAGTGTAAGCCCCCCAGATGAAGAGATTCTTCAATTGTGCTTGGTATTTGGCAATTCTTTCGGGGCCATGCCGTCCGTGATAATTCCAGGTACCGCGCTACCCAAGGCAGTTCTTGGGCCATTAGGCAGCTTTCGCGGCTCATTCAAGAAAATTACTAGGCCTTACCACGGGGCCAATCATGTGAGAGGCTGCCACCTGGCCGCAAAGAATTTGGGCCCGATACTTGCGCGACCCTCTCGCAGGATCGGGCTCGTGGCCTCAGAGCTTGCAAGCTTATAGTACAAATGTAGTACGGGAAGCAGCCTGTGTGAGGTGGCCTCAGATGTGGTCACTTTGAAGATTTTGTAGTGGATGTGTGGTACGAGAAGTAGCTTCGGGTTGCTGGGGGGAGGACAGCGCGCTGGCGTAAGTGTCTGTCTGGAATTTGCGGTGTGCCTGCGAGGCCTCCTTGAGGCAAGGCCTTCAGCTTCGCTGCCTGCCTTCTTCCTCTCTGGTTAAACAGGCTCGTGGAATTGAATGGTGACATCCACATTCGGCACAAGAGCCAGGCCTCAGGGGAAGAGCAAGTGCCCGCCTGGCTGAACAGCAACCAGCTCACCTCGGTGGGCTCAGGCTCTTCCACAAAAGGGGCCCCTTGAGTGCACTCTTCCTGCTCATCTTCCTCCTCGTTCATCGTGCCATGCGCCTTCCTGGCATGGCTCGCTGCTGACACCTCCAGAAGCGCAGCAGCAAGAAGGATCACACCCCAAGTTGGGTGGCGCATGGCGTGTTCAGTGCCCAGTGCCGAAACGTGAGGTGAAATGCGAATCGTTGTGCGTGCTGGGTTGCTTGGCGACGTCACAAAGGAAATGAGCCGCCAAAATCTGTGTGCTCAGAACAACGTAAATCTATTCTTGTGCACGCTCTGCTTAAAACTTTCGGGCCATCAAGGGGTCTAGTTTAAACTTAATACTATATATAGTATTTCACCGACTGTCGCGGTGATGAGGGAATATGGAAACACCCCAAGAGTAATAGTGCACCCGGTCATGTTTACCAGTTGTTTTGGTTTTGTGTCTTATGATTCTGACTACTCATAATATATATATATACACACACGAGTGTTGGATTCTGTTGGTCAGAGTTTTTTCTTTGTGCCGGAGTCTTGGTGGATCTTGTGCTTCTTGGCCTTTACACTGGTGATACGATCGGGTTATAGTGATGGTGAACAAGACTAGGAACCGTGATGTTCAATAATGACCGATGATGTTCATGTCTCGTAATTGTCATCCTCAATCAATAAACATGCACCCATGGAGTGCCTCATTTTGTCAGGCCTCCCCAAATCCTTGGGATAAAGGAAGCTAGAAGAAGAACTTCTTGCGGGACAAGACTGACATTCTCTCCATTCTCTCAGATCGCCCAACACTCAGTCAAAACCGAGTGACTGCTGCGCTGCCTCACTCGCTGTTATGTATTCCGTGGTGGTGGCGGTGCTCGAATTCGTGACGGGCTCGGCGCAGGGGCAGGCAGCACCCGCTGTGAGGTTCGGTGCCTGGACGAACGATGGGAGGTTCCCGAATCCATGAGTAAGACATTCTGCTTATATATCCGTCCAATCCAGAAAATCAACCATCAAACATCGTGTGGTTGAGATTGGGAAATGAATACCATCAAGAATATTAGAAAATACACGACATACAGCCTATCCATCGCCTCACAGGAGGGTCGAGTCAGTTGTGGTGCGTCGGGCTAGAATGGGTGCTACTTTTTCTTTTTTTTAAAATCTACTTTTGAAGGGAGAATCTTGTGCCAGAAAGGGAAGGAAGGGTGCCACTACCCGCGTGGCATTTGAGGTTGAGGTGGTGCCTCTCTTTCAGGAACGAAAAGGTAGATGAGGACCCTGTGGTTGGCTTTTGCAGTACGTCAAGGCATCCATTCCTGCGGGAGGGTGAGACTGATACGCAAGTTTCCCATTGTTCAGGTGCTGATCTAGTCTCATCTCTCATCGTGTATGGATGTTAGCTACCAAGGCACTCTCCTTTCTCTTCGACTGTTGAAGTACAAGGATGCTGCGCAAAGCAATTCCAGATCAATTTTCCATACTCTGGGGCATCCTTCACTGAAGGCTCTTCTCATAGAGGCTTTCTCTCAAAACCTGTACTGGAACTTTGGAGCGAGTTCACCCACCCTAACAAAAAGCATGCTGGGACAAAGACACCCACACAGATCTTCGCAATGACTCCAACGACAACAAACAACTCACCACTAAATGTATTCAGGGATTTTTGGATTCGACATCCCCAACCCAAAATCACAGCCCTGAGGCGTCGGCCTCCTCGGGTGTGGCCAGCGACTGCAGCCATGAGATAAACAGCTCCATGGAGAAAGCCCGATACCGCTACGTCAGATGACTGCTTCTCACGCCAATCGGCGGAAGCGAAGCGGAGCAAAGCTGCAGCGAACGAGTGGCGGCTTCTTAAAAGATTTGAGTTGACGGCGAAGCCAGCGATTGCTTTGAGAGATGCTCTTCTTCAAGAGTCCAAAGTGAAAAAGCTCAGCATCAAACAATCCCACCTAAAGAACTGGGGTGTTCTATGTCCATGTTGTCAATGGCTCGATCTATTCAAGTCTATGGCATCGCAAGCTAAGCTAGAGGAACAGAAAGCCAAAAGACAACAACCGAACATTTACACATCATCTTTTTAAGAATCAAACTTTATGACAGGTCTTTGACATTCCTGACTTGACCAAACACTACGATGGTATCTGCAGTAGTTATTAATTGTGACATTGAATTGACACTTTTATAAAATGTAGTCTGATTTGAGCCACATGTTGAGGGGCGCCGGCAAAGACGGCTCCTGATCAACCTCTGCAAACGAACAAACTGCACATCTCATCAGGCAGCACATCTACATCAGGCTTTGTGTCTTTGGAACCTAAGGCTGCTTACTCTCATGTGCGTCCGTCTCAAAGTAAGGGCAAAGCCGCCAAGCCATAACTTTTCATCCGCTTTTGCGATGATGGAGGTTTGGGGGGAGTTTGGCTTGCACCATCTTGCGCGCATCCACCCTTGTCCCCATCCTCCCACCGGCTGCCGCGGGGGCTTTGTCACAACATCTGCTCCCAGGCGGTTGGTGGCGCAGCCATCGGGTGGTGGCCTTCGGAAACGATCACCGAAGCTGTTGCTGACCAGGGAGAGCGTCGGGTAGAGGGGATATTTTGGCAGAGGAGGTCGAGAACTAGGCGATACAACCTCTGGGTTTCCAATGTTTTGCCTCTGGATGTGAGGTGGATTTCTCTGATTTTCTTTGGGTCCTGTTGTACATTTTGAGTTGCAAGATAAGATGGTGATTGGGGAGTTTTAGAGTGGACGCGCCCGGCATGCATGCTCTTTAGTCGATTGACCCGCCCAGGGAGGTCGTTTTTATTCTTTTTTTGGAACGCCCCATGATCAACGCTGGTTATCGAACCCATCAAAGGTCGTGGTCTGTGAATGCCCTTTTGACAAGCGGCGAATCAAGGGCATGTCGATGACTTCCATTCGCAGCATAGAGTAAACACCATGCTCAGCGTTGTAAACAGTGGGGACATTTTCTTTGTCAGCTTGTGCAGCATGAGTCCATTTGGTAAAGAAAAGACACGTAGAACCGTAGAACCAAAAACACCAACCAGTACCTTCTCTGCTGTCAACAAAACTCAGCCACAAAAAGAGCAAGAGTACTTCAGAAGTAGGCAACTTCCTAAATAGGACAGGAAGCAACAATAGCAACATAGGGCGATTCCTTTTCCATTCTTTCCCTTCTCGGATGTTGTTGTGTGCTTTCATCCATTTTCCACGAACTCCACAACTTTTCAGGGCTGCCCGTCCCTGACATCTGTGCTGCCTGCCTGTGGGCGGCGGTCGTCGGATCACAAAGTCCAAACGTTTCACTGGAAGGATGATGGGCGGCTGTGGCTTGTCCTGGTGGCCGAGAACTGACGAGCCGCAATTGTTGAAGCAAATGCGGCTCCCGCATTCCGTTGAGGATTCGTTTCTCTTTCACCAATGTCCATCTCTTGAATGTGGTGTCCTAGGTAACGACTATGTAACGACCTCGCTCATAGATCTGCCATTTGCTCCAATTTGATCAATGACCAAAGAGACCTTGAAACTAGCCTGCGCGAAATGGTTCTCGCCGCTGTGCTCCACCACCGCTTCTCAAATCATGAGAATTGAACCTGTGAGTGGAAAAGCGCACGACCCAAGGCATACCTTTTTTCATGAAGGTCATGAACACCTGAA